TGGGTTAACAATGTTGGCTAAGATGAATTCGAAAAGAAGAAAAAAAAGGAAAAATTAGTACATCACACAGCAAAATCGATTACAGAAAGGGAACAAAGTGGCTTTCACATGCCTGCCTAATATATGAGTTTCCGTTTTATGGTCAACAAGTGGAAATAATAAGTATTTGCTATTTTGAGGAATAATCGTGTAAGGATTTGTAGCATTATTAATGAATGTGCTATTTGGAAACATTGTTATCCTCGTCAGAGATGACGATTCGTATTTGAGCGGGAGATCGAATGGGTTCTGGTTCACTGAAAAGGCTTAACGTCATGCTGATCAATCACAGAACATCTATGGTTTTCATGAGGTATGTGTGAAATTTCTAGGTATTACTTATAATAGAAGCGGTGTGTTAAGTGAAAGTGAGCTATTTTTCCAAAAAATAGTCGTTATGAGGCAGAAAACGGACCTTGTTGGAACAGCAATAGAGGACGAGCTTGAACTCGGTATGTCGCATGATTTGCGAGGCTGTCCCAATGTGAATTTTGCACCCTTCGCAGAAGCTTCAGCAGGTTGTTCTCCTATAGGAAAACTATGTAGGTATGATAACTCAAAAAGAACAAAAAGCAAAGCATAAAGCCGCAATTATGGCTAACTACCTTATTCTTAAACTAACCGTCTTCCTCTAATGATCCTAGACATGGAGTGGACAGAGATGTCGGCAACAAACAAACTTTCAGATTCCTCTTATTACAGCTTCCATGTGCCGAAGAGTCCGAAGCATTTTGCAGAGATTCTGACTCAGGTATGGTTTCAGAGAGATGATCGCTTGTATTTCGGCGAGTAAGAACTTCAAGTTGGGGCTAAAGGATTTATATCAAGAAGAACATAAGCTGTTGAATAAGGACTAAACATTACATGAAGATAATCCACATCATCCCCAATAATATCAGCTGGTTCTGCTGGATGATAGGAATCTTCGCCATCTGTTGGAATTACGCCTGATTGCACATTTTCAATCGCGTTCCTCAGCTAAAGAGGCATAATGACAGGCATAAAATAAATCTAAAAATTATGAAAAGTCTTAAAATAATTATCTTACATCGTGCAGTGATATAACCCCGACAAGTCGTCCGTCTTTAGTTACATAAGCACGTTTTAAGCCAAGCAGTGAGAAGAGAGAGTGCACCTGAA